TTACTGAAAGGACTGCTTCTAACCACCCAAAAGTCTTATCCTATAAGGAAGCACAAAATGATTATCTATACAAAAAAACCCAGCAAAATGAAGTGTTTAGGAGACAAGACAATAAAATGATTTAAATCGCATGAAGGTTTTGTAGATCCATATTCAGTACACATTGATTGAAATCAAGTTTAAAAATGCAATTGAACTTTGAGAAGCCATCAAGCAATAGTGGTACAATTTGGAGATTTCCAAATATAAAAAGCTTTCTGCAAGGCTTACCAATAGGGATAAATAGCTAAATGAATGTAAAGGATTACACTTCCATATTTTCTAATGCTTTAGTGAAATAAATAAATGATTCGAACATTAACCAAAGAAAATTACCGATCAAATATCAGTGAATAAGTAACAGGCTGCCGACCTGTCCCATCATATATGGTAGACAACATTATTCTATCTCCAATTTGAATTTAAATCCCGCGTAAAATTAAGGATTACAGCCTAAAAGGAAATACATATCTGTAATCATCTCATAAAGCTAATCTGTAATCAAATCCATTAATCCTTTGGGTTTTCCACAAGCGATCTTTCTGTTATATGTTTTTTGTTGTTTTTTGTTTTGTTTTTTTCCTTTCCCATGCGCTTATATATTATGATTGTGATGTTTTGGCATGCCTGAGCGTATAGCGCATGAAACTTTTATAATTACGTGTACAATACAAGTGAAACATTAGATTCCTACATACTGCCTACATTATGTTAGTCATTAAATGATAATTATTTTTATTACATATTTCATCTTCAATTTTCATGAGTGTATATTTCCAAATACTGTCTGTCTACTCTGAAAAAATAAAACTACATATATTAGGTTGATGACTTTTGAACAGTATTTGGAAACATTTTAAAATGTTTTTGAAATTTATTCAGCTCTTTGTTACCCCTTCGTTTACAAGCGTTAGGAAAACTTCTGTGGCATTTTTTTCTTCGTCTTCGATAAATAAAAGTCATTTTGGGACGAGATAATCAGTGGAGATAAAAAAAGGGGGTTTATTATGTGTAACCATAAGGGAGAAAATCCTAATTAAAGCCAAGAAAACATATCACATTTCAATCAAAATACATTTACTGAAAAGTACTTTTCTTGTTTGGTCGGAATGAAAGAAACATATTTGTTACAATTTGCTGGAATAGGAAGACAATGTTACTGCGTAATGTTACACTGAATAACTTGTTCGTTTGAATCATAATCATTAGAAGAGAAAACCTTTTTAAAGTTACTCTGTAACTTTAATTGAATGGGAAGAAAGTTTTGTTTTTTTATTACGGATCGTTGGAAACTGGACATGCTTTTTTATTTTTATTTTATTTAATTATCTATTGTTTATCTGTTACGATGCATTAAATTAATCTTGTAATAATTTCACTTATAAAATTGAAACATTATCAAGCACTTTTAAACGACTATTTTAAATATCGCATCTTTAGCATTTCACGTTCTCATATGACTCAAAGAACGGCAAAAGAGATGATGACTATTGTATGCAGTTCGTAGATTTTTCTTTTATGTACCGTCCATTTCAGAGTGTGGACTTTAATGTTTTTCAACAACTTCCTATCTCTTGGAGATCTAAGCCATATTTCCCATTTACTAGCCATCCCAATACTGATGCCATCTCTTTTTTTTACAAGTTTGTTAGGTTGGCTACGCTGTTTTCTATGTGACAACATGTCCTGTGAGTGTTAAATTCTTCAAGCCTTCTTTCGTCATTATGTAACTCAGAAAATTTAACACTGTTTTCTATTTCCGTTTTCATTCCCCGTTTCTCATATTTCTTGCCAATAATATTCTCAGCATCTTTCTATAGACCTACATCGTAGAAAATCCCAGTTAACTGGTTAGATGGATATCGTTTTCAGAAAACTTTTAATTCAAAAGAAAATAGAATTTAATCCTTTCAGCTATTAAGCTAAATTAAAATTTTAAATTTTGGATCAGGTTGTTATTCTTACGGATAAAAATAAATTGGAGGGTGGGGGGAATAAATTTTATTTTAAATTATTCAGATTTAAATAACAAATCGGAATCGTATTTGGTGAACTCCCAACACGCACTAGTATTTTATGGACAAAAATAATTGTATTTCTCTGGAGAAGTATTGCAATTTTCCTAACTTGCAGGAACTTTCGAAGAACTGTATTCTTTATTTCTGGTTCTCTATCCACTTAGAAATGGAATAACAGAAAAGAAAGACCCCGGGCTTCGAATTTTGATAATAGATCTCCATCACCGGTAGGATTCCATCCTAATCATTTTCATACATTTTATACGTTCGTCTTTTTTCCTCCGATTCTCTTTCAAGTTTAAAAGGAATCGCCTGAAAACGCAGCTTTGATGCCAAAGCAAGCGGACCTTGTTTGAGTTATTCGGTAGCCAAGATTAAAAGAAATAAAATGTGAAAAAAAATTATTAAAAAGATCATGAACTGATATTTCTATTCGGGATCCGATCGGAAGCGATGCTTTCTTTCCTGCACGGCTCATAGATCGGTTGAAAGAACGTGGTCAAACATCCAAGCAACCTTCTGATTTGGCCAAAGGACATATCGACTTTGGCTGTCGTTAGTCAATGACGAAGTCTTACGTCATTCTCTATCTCACCTTCACAAGTTCACACGGACGAAAAGTTTCAGTCAGCAAATCGATTATCTTTTAACTTTATGCAGGTTTTATGGAAGGAATGAGAGGTTAACGAAAAGGCTGAAAGTCGGGGTTATGAGGTTTCATCCTTGATGTCAGCCTGGATCTAGTTCATTATTTGTTAAAAAAAAAAGGCGGAAGACAAGTTTAAACAATAACTATGTTACTTCCTTTTTTATTAGGTCGACAGTTTTTTTTATCTTTGAATTTATGATCTCTGTTAGATATAACTTGACTTTTGGAAATAACCTGTCTTTTTGAATTGCCTGGAAATGGAAGTGGGACTATTTTAGAACTAGCTATAATGCTTAGAGTGCCTTAAACAGATAGTTTCATCTATCTGAAAATCACCATCAGCAAAAGCCGCTATATATATATATATATATATATATATAGCGGTTTTTGAAACATGAAAACTCTTATGTAGCGAAGGAATCATATTTTTTAAAATAATTATATATATATATATATATATATATATATATATATATATATATATATATATATATTAGTAATTTCTCAGGAATTTTATTATTTCTTATTTTAACGTTATATGTTAGCAGAGACACGTGTTTGGGTAGACGCCCTGTTTTGTAAACGGTGTGAAATACATTTACTGGCGTATACGTTAGAGAGGTTTAATATAGAAAATGTACCCTTTGGTATGATTTGTAATAGTTCGCCCACAGAATAAAAATTCAATTAGATTTATAAGAATGCACATCTCTCTCTCTCTCTCTCTCTCTCTCTCTCTCTCTCTCTCATATATATATATATATATATATATATATATATATATATATATATATATATATATATATAGGTAAGATAAGAACAAATGGAGTATAATTCCACTGTCCGAAACATTTAATTTCAAAGAAAAGAAAGAAAAATACATAGTCCAGCTAAATGTATTATCGGAGGTTAAAACAACGACATGTTAAAAATCGCTACACACTAACAATCCTGTTTCAACACTACAAAGGTGTCTCCTCAGGTGACTATAAATTACTAGTGAGAAAACAATTAATTCCTAAAGCAAAATAAATCCTATTTTTTTAAAAGAGAAAGAGGAAACGAACAAAATGAGGTTTCTTGGTTTACTATGATTAACCAACCAAATATGAGACCTACAATGAAATCCAAACCAACTGAAAAAACTTGATATAGGTCATAACATGAAGTTGTCTTCATAGAAATCCTAGACAATTTCGTTTGCGACAGATACAAATGATTACAGCATTATGTATTGACCGTATCAACATGAATGTCCTTACGGTGTAAACCTTTTTTTTATGCAGATATTTTATAATACCTCGATGACAAATTTTGTCCGTTTTCAAGAGGAGTCGCCACTAGTTACTTTCGAACAGTCAGATGTTAGTTTACCTGCAAAGAAACAATGCAATTATTAAGAGCTGAAGTTAATGCATAGCTCTAGAAGCACTCTTTCATAGCCAGCCTATGAACTTTTCCACAAACTCGTAATTTGCATTTGTTAGATAATCATATTTCATCAGATGTAATTTTAATGCAATAAATAAAACTTAATAATGCAATCATTTGCAAGCAGTGTGTGAAAATGTGAGTCGGGGAAAGTAGAAATTGTTCTTTTATGTTAACACTTTTGCTTCGGTTAGTATATCTAAACAAAAGAATTCGAAGTAAAAAATAAATTATTTATGAAGAAAAAATGATTTTTAGTACACACCAATGCTGCAAAGCGATAAAACGCGACAGAATGAGCCGACAAAATTATGAGTGGATTTTTTATTAATGTTTTTTTCATTCACCAATTTTCAGTTGATTTTCAATATTCTCTGTTATTTTGAAGTGTCTCTAATTTTGAGCATTTTTCATAAGTTAACAATTCGTTGCAGGATCCTCTTCTATATATCAGTACAAGTCGCAATAGCAATTCTCGATTGTTAGAGAGGGTCACATCAGAGAATAGCACATGCTCAAAAGTGATAGAGATAAATGCATTATCAAATATCAGTTTATAATTTGATAGCCTGCCATTAGAAATAGTCACTGTTGTTTTCTTTTTCACACACATTCACTCACTCTTTCGATGACTCTCTCTCTCTCTCTCTCTCTCGATGACTCACTCTCTGTTTCACTGTTTTGTATCTATATCTTTGTTTTTTATTTGCCTTTCTTTCTCTATTTTTGCCTTTCTCTCTTTTTCTCTCTTTCTCACTCTCATTCAGCCTTTCTGCCTCTATTTCTACTTTTCCGCTCCATTTCTTTTTCTCACTATTTCTCCCTTTCTCTCTCTATTTCTGCCTTACTCTTTATCTCTATTTATGCCATTTTCTCACTCTCTACTTCTGCCTTTCTTTCTCTCTCTCTCTCTTTCTAAATCTGCCTTACTGTCTATATATTGTTGCCTTTCTCTCTCTCGCTCTATTTATACCTTTCTCTCTCCCTCTCTCGATTTCTGCCGTTATCTCTCTCCCCCTCTCTCTCTCTCTCTCTCTCTATCTATCTATCTATCTATCTATCTATCTATCTATCTCTCTGTCTTTATGCCTTTCTCTTTCTCTCTATTTCTGCCTTTCTCTCTCGCTATTTCTACCTTTCTGTCTCCACCTCTCTATTTCGTCCTTTCTAATCTCTCTATTTCTGGCTTTCTTTCTCCCTCTCGCTTTCTATTTCTGCCTTTCTTACTCTCTATTTCTCTCTCTCTCTCTCTCTCTCTGTTTCTGCCTTTCCCTCTCTATATTTCTGCCTTTCTGTCTCTCTATGCCTTTCTCTCTCTCAATTTCTGTCGTTATCTCTCTCTCTCTCTCTCTCTCTCTCTCTCTCTCTCTCTCTCTATTTCGGCCTTTATCACTCTCTCTATTTCTGCCTTTCACTCTCCCTCTTTCTATTTCTGTCTTTCTCACTGTCTATTTCTGTCTTTCTCTCTCTTTATTTCTTCCTTTCTCGCTCTCTCTCTCTCTTTCTCTCTCTCTCTCTCTCTCTGTTTCTGCTTTTCACTTTCTCTCTATTTATTCTTTTCTCGCTCTGTTTCTCTATTTCTGTTTCTCTCTGTATATTTCTGCCTTTTTCTCTCTATATTTCTTCAATTCTCTCTCTCTTTTAAGTGTTTCACTCTCTCTCTTTCATATCTCTCACTCTCTCTCTTTCGAGTCTGTCTTTCTCCTTCTTTCAAGTCTCTCTCTTTCTTTCAAGTGTATCTCGCTCAAGTGTCTCTCTCTAAAATATCTCTACCTCTCCTTCAAGTGTCTCTTTCTCTTTCAACTGTCACTCTCTCTTTCAAGTGTCCCTCTCTTTCAAGTGTCTCTACCTCTCTTACTCTCTGTCACTATCTCTTTTCAATTGTTTCTCGACTCCTTTATCACTATGAAACTGTAAATGACACCACAAATTCTTCTTCGTCAGTCAAAAAATCATGAAACTCTACTCTTAGAAATCGTCTAACAAAGTAATTTCCAATGCTCAGATCCACTTCATGTGTTTGTTCCAAACAGTCATCGAAAGAATTGAATATCTGTGTTTGTTATCTACAAGTTAGACGAAGGAAAATACAATGCAGATTGAAAAATAGCTATACCAACTGTCATCACAGCAAGTTATGCACTCATTCTGCATAAAATTTTGTACGCAGTTCGGAGTCAGTGCAATTTGGATTTTATACATTTGCACGCATTAATATTTAAAAAGTACATTCATTCAGAAAAACAAAAGAGTTTCGCTTTTAAAGCTAAAAAAATGATTAATTTGTTTTTGCATTCATTTGAATTTTGATGTTGCATTCTATTACTGTTAGGAAAAGTGAATATTATTGAACTAATAGAGAAGCTCATCAAGCAAAGTCTACACGCTCGTTCATATTATTTCAGCAAACGTGTTTAGATATTCTTACGAAAATTAGTCTGCCTGTGTCAGAGGAAGACATTGTGTGTTTAGACGTTTCGGACAGTAGTTATGTATTCTTGTCGGGCTTTTACATTTACCTATTTATGTGCTTACATCCCAGACGAATTTTCGATGTTGATGGTTACATACCAACATCTCTAGCTCTCGAATGTCAGTATAATCTTGTTATTTCTCTGATCTAATTATCTTCAATTCAGAATCGCATATTTCACCTTTATTTAAAAAAAAAAATGATGCTATCGCTTTTGGGGTCATATACATCTATATTGACCTGACGCCCAAAAGTGATAATGTTTTTAGTTGGTGGATGAGGAAAAAAATATAGATATCAAGAGAAAGGTCAAAGGTGATAACAAAGGATATAATAAGTAGATGTGATTAAAAACTGCAAACAAAACGAGTTTAAAATAACGAAATTAATTAAATGAAAATGAAAGAAAAGTGATAAGAAAGAAAAATAATGAAATAAATGTAATTTAAAATGAAAGTAAGACAATAAAATTGTTTGTCATATATAAAAGAATAAAGAAAGCAAAGAACAATTGAACAGCAATGATATATGATTTCCCACAAAGGAAAGGGTGCTTGGAGACTTTAAAACACACTGGACACATTGAAGACAAAATATTGAAGGAAAACAGCGAGTCAGGTTCTTGTTAAATTCGGGCAAATGTTTGGAGTAACAAGTACGATAGAAAGAAAGATGTGTTATAAAGAAGAAGGCATTGCCGAGGAGAATTACAATCATCTACAGCCTGATGGCTTGGCACTTAGAGAAATATTTTCTTTTTTATTAATCAATTATCTATTTTCTCCTGATTTTTGTTGGTCAAACAATTTTATTAAAAAGATGTGAAGATAAAGAATATTGGTGAAAATAAGTATTAGGAATATTGAACGGATGTGTTTATTTGACTAAAACCTTCTTTTTTATCATTTCACCCCAAGCAAGGCAATAAAACCACTAAGACACAAGGAGTTTAACTATTTTAAATTGATAAAATCTTTAAGAACATCAATAATCTTTGGAATAAAACTAAATGCATTGCAAAAAGACATCTAAATTTATTGCTGTCTCTAATGCACACATAACATACATCTCCAGCAACACGTGCGTGGCCCATGCATAAATTGGGAAAAATTAAGGCAAGTTATTCTAATATTATATTTCAAGTGGGGAGAATTATATAATTTATATTTATTCAATTCCATTTTATGGTAAATGATTTTAAATTAAAAGTGTTATCACTTTTCTAGGAATGGTCATCGGTTGCAAAGAATGGAGCATTAAAAATTTATTAATCAATCCGTGAAATTTGCACGGATCCTGCTTGTTTATAGTGACTTATTAAGTTTATCTCAGATGTAGCAGAAAACCGCAAATATGAAGCGCCCAATGAAGATGGAACTAAGTTGTAATTGATCTGCGAGACAAACTTGCTAACTGTCGCATTACGTTGTAGTGCCCTTGGGGTATAAATCCGAACACTTCTACCAAGAAAAGGTGGTTAGATATTCTGAGAAAGATAAATGTTACAATTACTCTACACGCACTGGCGATTCTATGGGGGAATGGGAACCATACTCACTCGACGATTTGTGTTTGACTTCTCGGTTGGCCATCCAACTTTTATACGTTATAATCTAGAAATATAATTGATATATATTTTAATAATTTTAGATTTCCAAATAAAGTATCCAAGCCATAATTAATTACCGTAAAGTTTGTCAGTCCTGTTCGGCAGTTAATATTATCTTTCATAAAAGAAAATGGGTTTTTGAATAACGCCGTAATGCTATCAAACAAATTTGCGAGATGAGAGAATTCATTTAGAATGTTTTATTTATGAATTTGATAGTGGCCATGATAAACACAGAAATAAACTGCATTGTGGTGATTCTTTGATTTAATCATATTTTATCATATTTAATAAATTATCATAACAATATTCAACAGAAAATAGTTTCTAGAAGTTGTATAAATTGGTAAGGTGTCGCATAAAAATAAAAATAATTTTCCACACATTAACTTTGCCTCCACACATATGTATTAATCTTGATCTCTAAGTGCCTCTTTCTACACATTCTGATTGCTAGAAATGACACTACCTGAAAGAAATTATTCATGAAGTTCAGTGTTGATTCTGCTTAGGGTAAATTTTGAAAGAGGGTGGTGAGCCCAGATTAATATCTCGAAAGAGCTTCCGTTTTTCAAAGGAAAATGAAAAAATATGTAAAGAAAGTTTAAATTACGCGCGTATATATATGTGTATAGTTTATAAAGACTTTATTTTATCAATGAATAATGAAGCAGGAGAAGCGACCATTCTTATTTCAGCATGTCTTTTGCCTTTGAAAAGAAAATAACGGTTAATTTTCAAATCTTGCTTGAGGCTTCTTTCTTGGTTCTTTTCCAAATCAATCAATAGTGGAATATGCGCTTTGTCAGTGGTCGGGTTATTGAATGCGATTGGAATTCAGCCAAAATGGTTCGCTTTGTGGACAACGGAAAACCTATTGAAAAATGAACCGAAATAAAGTAGAAGAAAAAGACGACAGATTTTTGCGAAAAAAAAAACAAAAAATGTGATCCAAAAGAAAGAATCGATATTCGAAAAAGAAATTGATTTAAGCAACAAGAAAATGAATTCTGTCACAAGCAGAGCATCAACTTGAAATCACCCCCTCCACACACACACACACACACATACACATAAACATACACAAAAAAGTTAATGTATGTGTTTACAGTAAGGCAAATGTGCGAATATGTTAGTATGTTTTTTTTTTGTTTTATTTTTTTTAAGAATGTATAATTTTCTCACATAACCCGATGGGAAGCAACTGCTATACAACAAATATTCCTTTGAACTCCTTAGAGGAATCGATATTTTACTTACTTCGTTGTCTTTACATATATACCTTTCTGTCCTGACAAAGGGTTTGTGTCTTCTTCAAAGTTTTACATTAATGTCAACTCTCTTTTTGGATGTTGCCTCACACATAAATGCATGCATACACACACACACACATTGCGTTCGCTTGTCTAATGCTAAAAGTATGCACATTTACAGTTGCATATGTTAGTGTATGAATGTAAAAATATCAAATGGTTTCCAACGTGCTTGAAAAAAACAGAAACAATTCTTTGCCATATAGGAAGACTTTGTGAAATACATCGGTTTGATGCTTTAGAATATATCATCAGGCGAGGATCATTAGGGATTGCGGGTATTGCATCATCATACCCCCTATTCACAGTGATCTAGCCGATACTGATCGGATATTGACTTGTTTGCCATCTGTCAGTTACAACTGTTACAACGCGTACAACACGATGTGACACGTACTCGTCTGGCATTTTATATTCCAACTACGAGCAACTTCCGGTTCATCAGCTTCTAAGCTCTTCTGTAAGACGCATGTTGAGGACTACCGTTCAATTAGATTACATGGCAATTAGACGTTGACCAATGGACATTCAAATATGAGAGAAATTTTATATCTATCGCTCTAGAAAGAGTCTTGCGTGTGTACATTGACTCCTAGAAAACGTCTAAATTGTGATTGCTTGTCATAACAGTGAAGAGATTTTTTCTAATGAACGTAGGAAATGTTCTGTCATGAAATGTACAAGTCTCTAAAAGTTAATATTTCTTCAAAGGGTTTCCGTCATTAAAATAAAAAGCAACTTCTTAAAAATTGAATAAATCTACACGTTCAAGGTTTATTTGTTTCTGAAAGTCAACTTCACAGGCGCATTCACACAGATTAGAACTGAATATTAAAAATGAGAATAAGTTGTTCTTTATCTTTTCTAGCTGTATCCCTTTCTTTCATTCATTCTAACCTGATTGGTTTAAAGGATTTTTCTTTTCATTCTTTTCATCTTTTTTTTTCTCTCTACTGGTTATTCCTCAATTGTTGCCTTTTTTCTTATCGCCTTTTATCCTTTGTTTCTCGCTTTCACATTTTTCTCTCTTCTCTCTTTCTCTCTATAATTCATCGAAACATTTATTCGTACTAACGCTCTTGCTCGATGCATTTCATATTGTTTCTCTTTGTTTCCATTTTTTCTTCTACCCTTTCTTTTTTACTCTCACATCTTACCCACGTCTCTCTCTTTCTCTCTCTCTCTCTCTCTCTCTCTCTCTCTCTCTCTCTGACACACACACACACACACATATATATATAGAGAGAGAGAGAAAGAGAGAGAGAGTGTGTGTGTGTGTGATAGGTAAATTGTCGACAATTTATATTTTTAATTTCGTGCATGCACGTTGTTTCTTTTTAGATTTTGCCTACTGCACAGTATAGTAGAATCAGTTCGTCGTCGTCTATGTGAAAAAGTGCACCATGACACAATTCACTCCGACAGTAATTTGGAAAATGCATGCTGCACTGCTTGCCCTTCGCAACGGAACCTCCAATACGAACATTTCAATGTGTTTGGGTGCCAATCTGAGGACAGTGCAGAAGAATCAGAAAGACTTGGATAAGTCTAATGGCGATTACA